CCCCTCCTCCCCCTCCTCCTCCTCCTGCTCCTCCTCCTCCTCCTCCTCCTCCTTCTCCTCCTCCCCCATCCTCCTCGACAGCCGGTGCCGCACAGCCGCGTCCTGCCCAACATGCGCTCTGCCTGCAGCGGGGCACGACATCTCCGAGGCAACCACGCTCCCGCGGAGCAACAACTTCACCATCGTGCGCGGCGCGCCAGCCTCGGGGGCTCATGGAAGGCATACCACTCTGAAGGCAAAACTTGTCCATTGGGATGGAGGCAATGAACTCACTGAAGTAGGGGAACAAACAATGGCATGACCATAAACACTCGAACGTCGCGCGGATTTCTCGTATCGGCTCTCTGGTGCGCGAAGCGCGCCAGGGCGCGCTTGTGGCGCCGCCAGAGGGCTCCAGCGCCGATCTGAGAAATCGACGCGGACCTCCGAGTTCTTATGTTGTGTGTTATGTCAGTGTTGGCTCCCCGATGGAGGCAGTTTCTTGTCTGGGATGGCGAGAGCTCGCTGAAGGCAACCAGTTTTACTGAAGGCAAGAATGTGAGCCAGCAGTGGGCAAGCAGAGAATTGCCCTCGGCAGTACAGTAATTTCCTTCAGTGAGCTCAATGCCCACTCATCGCAAGGGGCTCGACGGCTCCTGCTACCCCTCGACTCGATCAACGATCGATCCTCGATCCTCGATCTATCCTCGACCGATCCTTGACCCTCGATCTATCCTCGTCGATCGTCGATCCTCGATCGTTGAAGGCTCAACGGCTCCTGCTGCCCCTCGGCCCGTGCTGGAGCTGCCACGACTTCTTCCGACTTGCCTGGATCGAACAGAGACCGTTGTGCGTTTTTCAGCGAAAACCCAGGCTGTCAGGCGGGGGGGGGCGAGGGAGGCGCTGGTCGATAACCTAACCTTTTCGCTCTGAGCAGCCCCACGTGCCCGCGCGCCCACCGACAAGGTCAGGTTATCCGGGGGGAGGGGGTGCGTGCGGGCCAGATAACACAGGTAATTGCTGGACCCTTGGACCAGTCTCTGATCTGAAGGTGTGGACATAATCATGTTGAGAAGAACTCCACTTAGCAACAGCTGCCAGGAACACTCCACATGCGAACGGCACCACACTTCAAGTGCACCTCAGCGGGGTAGCCAATCGGCGTCCCAAATCAACCGATTGTATCTATTTAAACGCACGTCGGTTAGCGAAACCGACTGGGGACTGCACTGCCACACTCGAGTGCCAATCTCGAGTAAACAAGAGCAGATTTCCTCAGTCGACTTGTCTGGGTGGGCGTCCTCTCAATGCCCGACTAGATTCATCTCGATGTGTCTGGCTGGAGCCCCGCAGGTCGATTGGTGAAAAGTCGTAAGGCCCTCGGGGATCCCAAATACCCAGGGCATCGGCATGACCCATTTGGCGGCGCGCTGGCGGGAGCAGGAGCAGGGCCAGGGGGCGGCATTCTCTGAGATCTGGGCGTCACGTGTAAGCGGTTACGCCTTTTCTCGGGCCCTGGGACCCTCACAGACCGATCCGGCTCGAACAATGCGGCAGAGACATGCGGTCCAGAAAAATGGGGTCTCGGGTTCTGATCGCGATTGCTCGCTATGCGGGTTTTTCGCAGATCTCAGCACCACGCAGAAGAAGGAACAAAACAATTCTTGGACCCCGGAAGCGCCTGGCTGCACGAGGAGCGCCAGAACAACCGCTGAGGGACCCGAGGAACAGCGACCCACTTCCGAGCCGGAACCCCCTGTTCGGGGGAACGCAAGAAGTCATACACGTAGACTCCTGGAACTCCGAAAGCTGCATTGTTCTGCTTCTTGGACTTCTGAGGGGCAGGCAACTTTCTTTCTCGTCGTCCTCCTCCTCCTCCTCCTCCTCCTCCTCCTCCTCCTCCTCCTCCTCCTCCTCTCCCTCGCTCCCTCCCCTCCGCTACGCTCCGCTACGCTCCGCTCCCCCTTACTTACTTCTGCTGCCCCTCCCCTTCTTCCCTCCGGCATGACGGCCGCCTCCGCCCCCCCATCCCTCCTCCTCCTCCTCCTCCTCCTCCTCCTCCTCCTCCTCCTCCTCCTCTTCCTCCTCTCGTCGTCTGCCCAGCCGGCGCTCCGGTGCGGGAGCGGCTCACAAAGGAGGCGGTATGCGCGGCATCTGCTGCTGCTGTTCGTGGCCCTTCGCGCCAGAACCGCCCACTTCTATACATGTGGCGAGTATACTCAGGACCACTCAATGCTGACTGGCATTCTGAAGGGCTCGCAGTGCGCAAGAAGAGCACCCAGCAATGCTTTCAGAAGAGCGCAGCAAGAAGAGCAACGGCAAACATACAAAACGGACACACAAGGGGCGTTTGTGGTGGTCCGCATATGACGTACTTCCGCTGGGCCTCCCAGGAGCCCACGAAAGTGCCGACGGTTTCGCAGATCGCAGCCCGCCAGGGCACCGCGTGCTATGGTGGTGGTCCGCGTATGACGTACCTCCGCTGGGCCTCCCAGGAGCCCACGAAAGTGCCGACGGTTTCGCAGATCGCAGCCCCCCAGGGCACCGCGAGCTATAGCGGTGGTCCGCGTATGACGTACCTCTGCTGGGCCTCCCAGGAGCCCCCGAAAGTGGCGACGGTTGAGCAGATAGCAGCCCGACGGCAAAAGAGAAGAGGAGAGGGGAACAGAGAGAAGGAGGGGAGGAGAGGGGAGGAGGAGGGAGGAAGCACGGGGCGACCACACTGCGCTATCCAGAACGAGAACCCAACACAGGAGGGCTGGGGAAAAGAACGGCAATGACGACGAGCGAAAGAACGAACCAACGAGTGACGTCCTGTTGCCCGAGGAGAAGCTCCTGCGTGGGGCGGGGTCGGCACCAGGGCTCCCGCCAGCTGCCTCACCCGCCGCGCCGCGCGGCGCGCTGCTCGGGGGCTGCACGGCACGCTGCGCGGGGGGAGCCCCGAGGGAGTCTCGCCTTCGCTCGGACGTCCAGTCCCCGTACTCCGGGCTTCTCAGTAAGCGTGGGGGGGTACCCCCCCGACGGGGGTCAACCTCGCCTCGTCGTCGCGCCGCGACAGGGGTCGGAGCGCCTTCGGCGCGCGGTGGCTGCCAGCGATGGGGGTCGATGTTGGGCTGTCGGCGGGGGTGGCGCCCCACCGACGTTTATTGAGAAACTCGGAATACGTTTTTCGATTCCGTGCGTGTAATGCTTCGCAAGATGGCCCAATCAGTTCCTCGATGCTCCTCGCCGAGAAAAAAAGGCACACGTCCCAGCGATGCCAGATCAAGGGCTGCGCGGCACGCTGCTCGGGGGGAGCCCGAGGGAGTGCGCGACGAGGGCCGACAACGAGCCCCTGAAGGGGCGGCGCTGCGCGGCCCCCGAGGACGAGGACTTCGTCACCGACGTGTGCGAGGCCCTGAAGGACGCCATCGTCACCGACGCGGCCGCCTCCAACAGCGAGATGGCCCCCAGAGGCAACTGCTGAGGCGACTCTCTGAAGGCCAACCTGGACAAAGTCAACGAGCATAACAAGACATCGGCATCTGTGAGACTGGTCTGCACGACTCCACCAGACCTGTAGAGCGTCATGGAGAACAGGATGAAGTCCTGGAATGTTGATCTCCACAGCAAGATCAAAGACAAGACGGCGAGCCTGAAGCCTCCGGAGGTGAAGGCCCCGAAATCTCTTGCACCTTGAGGAAGCTGAACGACGCCGCAGAGCAGAACGCGAAGGCGCTGGACGACCTCGAGGCAGCGGCGAAACATGACCTCTTGAAGCAGGTCGACAAGCAACATTTGCAGATGGCGCAATTTGTCAGTCTCCAGTCCAAGAAGAAGCAGCAGCAGCTGCAACAACAGAAGGCCACCACCGAGCAGGAGCAGAAACAGATGGTGCGTACCATCATCGCGCGGGGGGAGCAGCTCATAGCGCTGGGCGGGCACTGATCCACAGCGCACTACTCGCTGGAGGGGTGGTTAAACGCGCCCTGGGAGGGTTGGATAGAGAGCGTTGGGGGTTGGAGGATTGGGCCGCAGCCCGTGGCACACCCGTACTGGCTTGTGCTGTCGTGTCCATACACAAGGTCAAGCCCAGCCGTCATATTCATCAGCATCATCATCACCATCATCATCATCATCATCACCACCATCAGCATACTGATCATCAGCATCATCACCACCATCAGCATACTCATCATCAGCATCACTATCATCTCCATCATCATAACCATCAACCTCATCATCATCAACACCATCATCATCGTCATCATCATATTCCTTCTCCTCCTCATCATCATTCTCATCAAAACCATCACCATCATCATAACCATCACCATTGCCATCGCCATCATCATCAGTACGCTCCTTATGATCCTGCTCCTCTCAAGCCCAAGGCTCACGTGCACAGGGGTCGCCTCCAGGTGCGCAATGAGCGGATGACTCTCGCGGCTAAACAAAACGGACCGCGACACGGCCTACGAGGGGGTGAAGAAGCAGCTGAACAAGCAAAAAAACACCAACATGATATGACAAGGTCGCGGGCCCTGGCAATGCTACAACAGGCTTGACGAATCCCACCAGCCCTCTGAGCGTAGGTGGTTTCGGGCGTTTCCTCTTCCACCCTTCCCTCTTCCCCTTCGGGTGTGTGCGTTATCACTGTCCCCTATTAATATACCCCCCTCCCCCAGGCGACTGGGAGCCAACCCGAGCCCATGAGGGCACCCCCCCACCATCCCTTATCCACAACAAACCAAAACACACTCTGCCTCCAAATTCGGAACATGCGCAACCAACTCGATGCGGCCTCCCCCCACCATCCCTATCAACACACAATGCAGAATGCACTTGGCGGCGGCGGCTGCGGCGGGGGCAGCGGCTGCGGCGGCTGCGGCGGTGGCGGCGGCGGTGGCGGCGGCGGCGGGGGCGGCGGCGACGGCGGCGGCGGCGGGAACGGTGGCGGCAACGGCTGCGGCGGCAGCGGCTGCGGCGGCGGCGATTCGGCAGCGGGGGCGGCGGCGGCGGCGGCGGGCGGCGCGGTGGCGGCGGCGGCGGCGGCGGCGCGGCGGCGGCGGCTGCGGGCGGCATGCTCGGGTGCTACGTCACTGTTGGGATGGCGGGTGGGGGTGAGCGAGACGGTTTGCGGGCGGGGAGGGGGGAACTTGATCACTGCCCCTATTGACAACCCCCCAGGCGACTGGGAGCCAACCCAGGTCCATGCGCCCCCCCCACCACCCTTGTAAACA